GGAGTTGTTGGGACCTCGTCCAGTGGTGTGGCAGGCGGAGGGGGCTCGTATAATAACGGAACAAATCAGCTGAACATGGCGGGTGTTAATAAAGGCCACGGGAAAGTTATAATCAAGTTCAAGCCTTGAGACAACACTATCACTGGATATGCTTATTTAGTTGTCATATAATTCATGAACTCTAAGAGATGGACCATTATACTTTTGCGGGGAGTGGGCTGGGTGATTTGATATAAACATGAGTTTTTATGTTTAATCCTTGCACGAACTAGGAGTTTTTTTCTCGGGAAATGGATGCATGATATTCTATTCTCCCTGCAACATGCCTTTTGTCGGCTCACTGAATGTGCATGACACTTTTTTCGTCATGGGACGAGTATGCTTGTAAGATTTGCTTTTCAAAATCAACCGACACGCGTCCCAGACCCCCTTAAAAGTCATATGGTCCACCCTTAACAACGTGTGGTGCTAGCGCGCTCTGAATCAATGATAAAGAAAGCAGTTTGTAAAGAGACAACATGCTACAAAGAAAAACAAAGCTGGAATACATTCTGAATTATGACAACAGTGCCAAGTTTTCTTGTCTGTTGTAGTGTATTGGGACCTCGTTCGGTGGTGCAGCAGGGGGAGGGGGATCGTATAATAGCGGAACAACTCAACTGAACAAGGCGGGGGTTAATAAAGACCACGGGAAAGTTATAATTACGTTTGAAACTTGAAGCAACACTTTCTTGGATATGTTTTGAAGTTGTCATGTATTTTACGACCTCTAACAAGGTGCTGTACTTTAACTCAATGATAAAGAAAACAGTTTGTAAAAAGAACAACGTGCTACTAACGGTCACAAGTTGTCTGTTCTAGTGTATTGCTTACTATAGCAACAGGGTTAGGCTAATGTGCTGTGATATTGTGAAACTACTGTATGATGTAAAACTGCTAATGCTATGTAGAAGTATAGTTTCTTGGGTATAAATAATGCTTATGATGAATAAAAATTAAAGAATTACATGTGACAATGAAATGGAGTGCTTCTCTGTCTTAGTGGTTTAAATGTCTACACACATCTGTCCATAAGTTCAAGGACTGAATCTAGAGGAGATTGCAAACGGGAGACTCCCATGTCAAAATGACGGGGATGCCATCGGAAAATTTGAATTCCAGGAACCGTTAGTAAAGAAGACCAATTTTAAGTCATTTGCAATGGGTCACTTTTGAAAAAATGCGGCAGACTTGAAAAGATGCGGCACACTTGGAAAAATGCAGCACACTTGCAAAAATGCGGCACAATTGGAAAAATGAAACACAATTGGAAAAATGCGAAACACTTCGAAAAATGCGGCACACTTGGAAAAATTTGGCACATTTGAAAAAATGCGACACACTTGGACAAATGGGGCACACTTGGAAAATTAAAACATAATTGGAAAAATGGGTCACACCTGGAAAAGTGGATCACACTTTGAAAAATGGGGCACACTTGGACAAATGGGTCACTCTTGGAAAAATGCGGCAAACTTAAAAAACTGTGGCACAATTGGAAAAATGTCGCACACTTTGAGAAATGCGGCACACTTGGAAAAATGTGGTACACTTGAAAAAATGCGGCACACTTGGGAAAATGCGGCACACTTGGGAAAATGCGGCACACTTGAAAAAAATGCGGCCCACTTGCAAAAATGCGGCACACTTGGAAAAATGCGGAACACTTGGAAAAATGCGGCACTCATTGAAAAATAAGACACACTGTACTTGAAAAAATACGGCACACTTGGATAAATGCGGCACACTTGAGAAAATGCGGCACACTTGGAAAAATGCGGAACACTTAGAAAAATACGGCACACTTGGAAAAATGCGGAACACTTGGAAAAATGCGCCACACTTGGATAAATGCGGCACACTTGGAAAAATGCGACACAACTTTTCAACTTTTTATTGTTTCCATCACCTATTACAATATATACTATAAATCGCCTAATATTACTATTTCGTTGATACAAAACAAGTGATGAGGGAGTCTATAGAAAAGCCAAAAAAATGCTTGAAATTATAGATCCCTAATTTGACATTTATCAACTAACTGATAATAATTATCAAACTTGAAACAACTCGAAATATCTTATGAAATAATCAAAATAATCAAAAGCTTATTTTATAAAAGGGGTATTTTGCCACTGCTGCTATCTTTGTCTATTATAGATCTCTTTATGTTATTCTTAAATATATTGAAAGATTTGACACACTTGAGAAAATGCGGCATACTTGGAAAAATGCGGCACACTCGGAAAAATGCGGCACACTTGGAAATATAATATACGGCACACTAAGAAAAATGCAGCACACTTTGAGAAATGCGCACACTTGGAAAAATGCGGCACATTTGAAGCCTCTTTCAATTCTTAGCAGAGCAAAACCAAAAAGCGATAACTCGCTAAAAGGCTTCGGATCGAGCTGAAAAGCGAGATGACAATAGAATGACAACAAGGCATTGGGGTAAGCCATTTTTATTGCAAAAATACCAAAATTTCAGCTATAATGTCGATTACCGTTTTTCCTCATACAAACCTTCAAAAATAAATAAATTCAAACCGTTGTAACACAACACCACCATATGCTGCAAGAGGAAGGTCACGTTTCGCGTAACCAAACTCGGTCGTTATGTAATAGTAGATGTCGGCGGTAACTGGGTCACGTTTCGCTGAACGTTCGCATAAAGATTGAAAAAAAATAATAACTCCTCGCAATGTGAGCTTGGGCCGCCTGTGGTTGGTGTATTATTGAGACTATGTAATTTAATCCCACGGTAAAAGCGGCCTAGCAGCATATATCACAGTTCTTACAATTATCCAAGTGGGGAACTGGGGGAACATGTCCGGTATCCCAAGGGGGCTTTGGTGGGGGTGCATTCGGCGTTAAACTCGGTGGTGGTGGGGGAGGATATTCCAGTGGGGGGAGTTGCTGGGAGTTAGTCGACTGGTGTAACAGGGAGAGGGGGCTCGTATAATAACGGAACAAATCAACTGAACAAGGCGGGTGTTAATAAAGGCCACGGGAAAATTATAATCAAGTTTAAGACTTGAAGCAACACTTTCGCTATGTTTTTTATAACTTGTCGTATAATTTATGAACTCTAAGGGGTGGACCATTTTACTTTTGAGAGGAGTGGGCTGGGTGATTTGCTATAAACATGTATTTCTATGCTTAACCCTTTCATGCACTGTTTTTTTTTTCTCGGGAAATGTATGCATGATATTTCTCTTCTCCGTGTAACATACTTTTTGTCGGCTCACTGAACGTAAAAAATTTTTTTTTCCTAGTGGTCATGTGCGAGATTTCCTTTTGGTTCAAGTATATGCTTGGAGAATAATTTTTTTTGGAAAATCACCCGACGCCAACCCCTTAAATTAAAAGTCATTTGGTCGACACCTAACAAGCTCTGGTGCTGTAACTCAATGATAAATTAATAAAGTAGTTTGTAAAGATACAACGTGCTACTAAGAAGAATGTATAATATATTCTGAATCATGACAACTGTCTCAAGTTCTCTTGTCTGTTGTAGCGTATTGATTGCCATAGCGACAGGGTTAGGCTAATATGCTGTGATATTGTGAAACTACTGCATGATGTAACACTGCTATTCCTAGGTAGATGTAGAATTTTAATGGATATAAACAAAGCTTGAGATCAGTAAAGACTAGAGGATTACATGTGACAATGAAAGGGAGCACTTCTCTGTCTGAGTGGTTTAGATGACTGCACACAAGTGTCCATCAATTCAAGGACTGAATCTTGAGGAAATGGCAAACGTCAGATTGCCGTTGAATGTGTTCTCCGAGGGAACTCATATGTGCAAAAGGTCTTAAAAGGCCGGGGATACTCGTCAGAAAATTTGAGTCTTGTAAAGGAGAGCAATCTGTGACGGTCAGGTCTACATCTAGTGTAATACTCTTCAACACTTTACAGTGTCAAGAACAGATTAACTTAATAAAATAAAAAAACTAAATACTTAATAAAAATACGAAGTCAAAACTCGTAAATGCTAAATTTCTTGAAAGAATTTAAAATAGGTAATTTAAAAATAACAATACCATCTCGCCTATTTTATGGTCAGCAAAGACTATTCAGAGATGCTTAACTTAAAAAAATGGATAGCTCTGATCTTTTTTAGTGCAATCAGAATACGTGAAAAAGTTGTATAAATTATTAAGTAATAGTCATAGCGCGTTCTTGGTTGTATGAAAGTTTGGAACCTTGCGCTACAATTAAACGGTGTCTTTACTACGATTACAGTTAAATTTGATTCCTCTGCGCCCTGTTAGACCACGAAAGGTTTTTTATTATTTCGTCCTAAACAGTTAACAAGACCAAAACCCGTGATTTCCACCCTTAAGCGGGACGACCAGAATCCCTGGCCTTTTCGCATGGGAGCCTCACCCATCTCTACCCNCCCCCGAAAACCCGGGTTCGCACACTTTTCACTTTTCGTCAAATTATGACGATAAATGGAATCAGAAAAATCGAAAAAAAAATAACCTTTTTCAACAAACGCCAAATTAATGACTGTCACCGGTACAAAGACAAACGGCAGAGCTAGAAAGGACAGCAGCTGTGTGTATTTAG